ACCGACAAAGATTATGCATAGCATAATTTAGCTATATTACAAAACAATTTAAGGTACAATTTAAAAGGGAAAGAATGGAAATTGCAGAGTACAACATCATAAACCAGAAAGATTTTTACAGAGGCTGAGAAACATGACAATGCATCCTTTTACTAGGGAAGGTTTCCCATACTTCTAAGATACATGATAAGCACACACACACCAGGATGCAGAAGTTCACCCCAACATTCACAACATGTTAAATTTTATGCTAATATAATGACAGCCACAATCTTTGTTCTGTATTCACCATGTGTCAGACATGAACTGTCCACCCATAAACAGGCACTGAAAAATATAGAAAAGGTCAAACCTTTTTGCCACCTAAAATGTAAATACAACAGGCTAGAACAGTAGGCATCCTTAGAAGTCTTATAGTAGTACCGTTTGGAAGTAAACAACAAGAAAAACACCAAAAACAGATTTTCCTAATGACAACTTTAACCTATTCACAAAATAAAAGCACCTCAACACTGAATATCACTATATATAATAATTAAGACCCTTTTAATTTCTGGATTATATTTAAAGGCAATGTGTGACATTCTAACCCAAAAGAAAGGATACTAAATCTTGCCACAAACTTTGCAAAACATTTAAAACGTGTTCCATTTTAGGTTGCACTTCAGCAAGGCCAAAAGGAAGATTATATAATCAACAAGCAAATCATATAGGCATATAATAAGCTAAAAAGACTACCTATATAACTATATATCTATATATAAATAAGCCTTGAAAGTGGGAGGAGGAGACAGAACAGGACCTATAATCCTATTAATTCTCATTTTTTTCTTTGCATATATGCATTTTCTTCTTGTGTTAAGTGTGAGTATTCAGGGTCAACCCAAATCTCAAGGTCAATGGTTTTAGTCAATTTAGAGTTTGAGTCCCCTAATACAATAGACACTCTAGCGAACAACCAAACTATTTGGTTTGAAGAAATGCAGGAAACAGTAGCCACTCATAAAAGAAATGCTAAAAAATTATACTGTATATGGTACAGTTTAATCCACACCCATATTGATAAGAATCAAATTGTGCTTTGTCCGATACAATCTATGTATATTCACCCTTGTTAAGAATTGGATTTGGCATGACAAAGATTGAATATCAATGAGAACACTGCCATCCTTCATTAGGTAAGTGTAAAGAAAGATGGAACATCATGTTTACCATTCCATCAGAGTGTTTTCCATATCCTTTTGTCCTACATTTTTTCTGTACTCTTTAAAAATGTGTCAAAGGATAACAGTGCTCAATTTGATCATATTTGTGGAGAGAAGACAAGACAAGACAGAGTGTAAAGGTAACACTCTGCTACAGAAAACCACCACAAAATGTAAGAACAAATGAAGTCACCATTCACTAATGTAGAAATTTGATATGTACTATGTGTGTAAATATATCATATCCCAAATGAAGTAAAAAAAGTGAAAATCTGTGTCAATCAGAAAGATAATCAAACAACAACAAAAACCCTTGCTTTCCAACATTGACTGGCTACTTTACTGCTAGACAAATCAAGATCTACGGAAGGGGGATGGTGAGATAAATAAAGACTACTACATTCACTTGATTTCGATACCACTAGACTCCTCCCTAAAGAACAGACTTCATTGTTACTGCAATTACTATACCTTCCACTCCAGCAAAAACACAAGCAGAAAATGGGTGGTGTGAATGCTATGAAAAGGATAATCTAGCCATTTCACAGCTTCTGCCTTACTCCACCCAGTTTTCTCCTCAATGGCTGTGCTCGCTGTACTCGCCCTCCATAAACACAATCCAACCAAACAAGAACACAAAAGTGTTCACTTTGTTCAAAATATCTGATTCAGGGATATTCTAAACCACTTTGAATAATAATAATAATAATAATAATAATAATAATAATAATTCAGCTACTGAAAAATCCTGTCCCACACTGCCAAGAAATTCAATGGTACACAATTGTTTAATTATAAATCTGATAATTCGGACCATTCCACCCCCTCCTCCACACCCACTAATGAAGTCCACAAATGTGACATATGCACAGTAGCAAGATGTAAAAGAATTCCGGGAGGGGGGGGGATTGAATATGCAAACAGGTTAATGCACCTAAATACATTACTATTCTTCCCCCCCCTCCCCGCCGCCCTTTGGGTGGACAGAGGGAGAGGCACAGTAAAAACTGTTAGTATAGCTTCCAACACTCATGGCTAGGAAACTCACTGCAAAAATATTTGACCTGCATCAATCAAGCCATACTGCAGTAGTATCGGAACATTTCTTTTCCCCAGCCAATGCTACTAAAGCAAATAAGATAGGATGTGACTAGTCTCAGAGGCTGAGTGCATAATTTCTCTTTCCCCCACCCACATCACCACTCCAAAAACCTCTCCTATAAGTGTGTGACCCACCTTAACTTCTTCACAGAAGTAAGGTAAAAGGGAAGAGAGAATCACAAAGCTAAATTGTTACAATAAGAGCTGTATTCTGAACAATACAGAACAAACAAGCACCTTAATGGGATGAGATTCCTTGCTGGCATCTCTAGCATCACTCCTCCTCCTCCCCATCTTTCAAAAGGGCAATTTCTTCTCTAAGCTGCCAGCAATGAGGTTCTACCAGCAATGAGGTGCTAACCCCCAACATGTGGAATCTGATCTCCCTAAGTCTTCCATCACATCCTCCTCCCATTTTTGCTGCAGCTTGTTCTGAAGGTCTGAGCCACCTCCTAGCAATGATTTTTCTCTTACTCAGTCACTGCAGGGAGAAGGGTGGAAAAGGGCCTTTTGACAGACCACCAGATTAGAGCTGCCAGACATCTCTTTTATGTTGTGTACCACAGATCATTTATTTTAATGAGCCAGTACCCCAACACTCATCTTGTTAAACAAACAACACAGAGAAGCAGGCCAACTTGCCAACAAACAGTAATTCTCCTCCCATTTTTGTCAACAAGAAAGGAATAAAGAAATGTAAGGAGCATGCGGGGGGGGGGGGAGAGATCTATGATATATTTCCTTTCAATCTGACTTCCTCTCTACTTCCAGGCCTTTATTGGGGTCACTATCACTACAACCTCCTCCACCCCATTTATTGTGAAGTCGCCAGAAGAAAACATCATTATGGAATGCAGGTGGTCAAGCAGTGGAGTGGCAGTAAATATGAAGAAAAGATAATGAAAGAAGAGAAGAGTGTGGTAGGAGACCAGAGTTGTGGGCTGTGAGACAAAGCTTACAGAAATATGGAACTGAAAAATGGACCGGAGGTTGCAAGAAGGGAGATTCAAGAATAAGAGGCTAGTAAAGAAATACTACAGATATAACAACAGAGCTGGGAGTAGAGGACTAAAGCTGAAGAAAAGCAGGATTCTGAATGTCAGAAGCAAAAGTAAGATGGGTGCAAAGGCTGGTCTAGACTAGAGCACGAAGGGCCTTCAAGCAAGGCAGCATGATGAGGTTTCAGAGTGACAAAGCAGATGCAAGAAGGGGAGATGATAGAGCTAGTAACAGAGGATGTAGAGAGATGCTGCGGTAGTAGGAGGTAGAGGGTACCAACAAATTATGCTTTAAAAGATGGCTTGAGAATGGGGAAAACCAGAGAGCAAAGGGTGTGATCAGACTCCTCCAGCTAGAGAAAGGAGATGAAGAGGTGTGTACAGAGGAGAGGGGAGAAATGCAGTAACGCAGGATTATGGGGCGGAGATGCTACGGCAGAACTGAGGAACTGAAGAACTGGAAAAGATCACATCCAGCTGGAGAGGGATGCTGAGAATTCAGATAATAGTAAAACAGCAGTATTAGGAGCCTCTCCCCTCCCCTCCAATGGAAAATCTATATCCTTTAATGGAAAATGTAACAGATTCTCCATTAAAGGGAGGCTAGTTTCTCAGCCAAGGTGAGGGGCCACAGACCTCCTCTATAGATAAACAAAATTGGAAGTCAAAGGGCAACTATATACCCATTTGTACACCCTCTCTAACAGGAAAGAGGGGTAAGAAGGAAAAGAAGCCCTTTCTCTTCCTATTAGATGACAAGAGAGTGTCACCTATCCGATGGGTGTGGAAGAGGAGAAACAAGGCGCAGCCCCACTAGAGAGGGTCACACGTGCCCCACTCCGGTTATAAGGGAAAGTAAGATGAAAGAGCAAAAATAACCTTGATTCCACTAGAGACTGAGAAAGGGTAATATATCAAAAGGGGGGGTGCAAAGAGGGGACCCAATCAACCCACCCACCTACTATGGGGGGGGGAGGACAGGGAAAAGAATAAACAGGGTCATGCCGTTTGTCAAGAGATGGGTGCGGGTGCATGGAGAGATGCTGGATGCGGGGAAAGAGGCAGAGGTAATCATAGTACAGGGGTGGCTAAAGGCCAGGAGGAAGAACAACGTTTGTGTGTGGAGGGTGGATGAGCGGGAGCAAAGGAAAGCACGCCATACGCGTTTTTCTTGCCTAGTCACCTAAGGAAAGAAGGGGAGAAGAGAGGGGGGGTATCCGACAGAGGAGAAGAATGGGCAGCGTGCATTTCAGAGAGACGTGCGAATGAAGGCTGGGGCGTGAACACAAACCCGCGATGACGACGGTAAGGATGCGAGTCGGAGAGGGAGAGAGAGAGAAGGGAGGGAAGCCTTATTCATCCCTCCCTTTCTCCTTCTCTCCTCCCTTCCCCCCCCCACCCCCGTCTCAATATCAACGGGCGCGGCGGCCATTTTGAGAGCGAGCTGGAAAGAAGCGAGGAAGGAAGGAAGGAGGGAGGGAGGGAGAGGAGGAGGAGGCGGCGGCGGCAGCAACAGCAGCAACACGAGCAGCCCCAAGCCGGGGCCTACCGCCTGTTCACCCCGCGCCCAACCCACCCTATACATATATAAATAAAGCCATAATAAAGCAAAGCGCCACAGTACAAGCCCGTGTCGCGCCTTATAGGTGTGCCACCCTCCCTTCTCCCGCTGGACCCAGAAGCCGGCCGGCCTTACCCAAGCCTCCGAGGCCGCTCCCACCAGTTCACCGGCGCCGGTTCCGCGCGCGAGAGGAGCGCGTACAGTGAGGGGGAAGGCTGCTGGTCGCTTCCTTGGGCCCGGGGGAGGCACAGAGCCGGCCTCGACGAAGAAGGGCTCTCTCGGCCCCCTCCCCTTTTGCCGGCTTGTGGAGAAAGAAGATGGAGGAAGCTTGTGGGAGGAGGCTGGCTGAGGAGGGGCGGGCGGAGGGGTCGCAGCGGTGTTCCTTCTTCGGCGGTAATGGTCGTCGCGCTCGTCGTCGTCGTCGTCGTCTTCCTTCGTCGTCGTCGGCAGCAGCAGCGGCGTCGACCGCCCTTTTCCCGCCCCGGTCTTGTCAGTGGCGCCCCGGCCGCCAGGAAGGAAGGAGGGAGGGAGCAGCAGCGGAGGAGGGAGCAGGCTCGGCCCGCTTTAAGAACTGCGCATGTGCGGAGAGGGGAGGGGATAGCAGCCCGGAGACCATCTTGCGGGGAGGCCGACGCGCGCCGACTCCCGGCGTGCAGCGCGGCCGAGGAGAAGGCGGCGGCGCGGGGTGGGCGGCGACGACGACGAGGGTAGCCGCCGCCGCCACAGCAGCAGCACCCGCCCGGACTCTGTTCCCGACATGCACCGCGGCCAGTTTACCTCAGCCCGCCTGGCTGCTTCTGCCTGTGTGGCGGTCGGTCGGTTTCTCCTCAATCCTCTCCCGTTTACAATCACCATTGTTACTCTCTTATCACACTCATCAACAATATGATTATGGTTATGATTATTAAAATACTTCTATTGGTCTTAATTTCAAACAATCGTCGTTGTGATCGTCGCGTTTTCTGACGAGCTCAAGGCGGCGGACGAACCGCACCAACAACATTTTAAAATTCAAAAACGGCTCACAAGTCGCGCTGTCAAAACAATATTTTAAAATTAAAGACCCCCTTTTAAAACAACAACAACAACCCACCCGCAGAAATCAGCAGTCCTTCACAGACAAGCAGCGGAGAAAAATGTCTTACCCAATTATTTATTTTATGAACAATCATGTCTTGTGTTTCTTAAATGACTGGCGGTTCATTTTCATTATCTTTTAGCTTTTTTTTGTAAACCACCCATGAAATATACAGTGATGGGCAGCAATATAAATGTAATATTATTAATGACATTACTAACGTCCTCTTGCACGTTTTTCTTACAAAACAGGTGGAAATTCTCTTACACAGTCTAGTCCACTAAAATTTGTTCTCAACACCTCTTACATCTTTATGTTGTTACAAGCTAAATCTCTAAGTACAACCTCCTGAGTTCCATAGGTCTTATTCCCAAGTAAAAAAATACAGTGGCGGCCTTATTCATTTATTTTTACTTCAATGTGCCTTTTTTATAAAAGCATTCATAGCGCTTCTCTCACACCCTCAAAAAAGGCTTTGGAATAACAATAGTGTCAGTCTTAGTTGCGCTAACAGCACCACGTAGGTGGAAATATCAGCATAGGTGTTTTGTTCTCTAATACAACCTTTCAGCCATTGAAATGGCCCCAAACAATACAATTCAAAGAAGAAAATAAAATTTAAAAATCCCAAAATAGGTAAGAGTTGAAAGTTTGGCCAATTAATAGTTTCATTCTGAACTTTCATTCCAAAGGTGTGATGGAGGTTGCAAAGTATAAGACTACAGTTCGCTGTCTGAAAAGCTACTAATCTAAAATTAAACTCACAAGGAAGTGGAGGCAGGGGTATACTGGGAAAATACTGTTGCTGTTATCATTTACAAAGCACTTTAATCTTCCTAGGGACAGTACACAGATTAACCTGTGCATAGGCTTACAGTCTAATAGACACCACATTGGAGGGAAAGGGAATGGGGAGGGAAGAGGAAAACAAGTACACAAAGGTTGCTGTTTTTAAAGTTACATACAGGCGACTCAATTTACGCTGGGGTTACATTCCAAGGAGAGCATGTAAAGCCAACATTGTGTATGGTCAAAACCAACCTGGCTACCCCATGTCTGCTTGGAAGCAGGTCTCATGGACTCTAACCTGCATAGGAGGTAGGGTGGGCATGTGGGTCAATGCTGCTTATGGTTAACTAGAAGATTGGTGGTTCAAGCCTACCCAGGGACAGTTGTGGGCAGGACTAGAAGACCCTTGGGGTCCCTTCCAACTCTACAATTCTATGATTCAATTCTATGTCTTCATTTGCAGAAATCTCCTCTGTTTGATGAACAGCTATTAAAGGAGTCCTCTATCTGAAATACAGTTGGAGCCAAATTTGTTTTGAAGAGGAAGAACCAGAAGAGAGAGAAATGGAAGGACTTGTGGTCCTCCATTATTCGCAGTTGTCATGACTTCGGTGAGATGGATTATTATTAATATTATTATTTATTAAATTTATGTACCACCCTTCAGCTGAAGATCTGAGGGCGGTCTGCTACATAAAAGCACAAAATATATAGCATAATAGCAAAAAAACAACAACACAACAACAACCAAGCATGACACATAATGTTGTGACTCAGAAAAGAAGTTTGCTTTGTTCATTATTGTTTTATTAATAGAAATGAGAAACTTTTTCAAAATTTTGTATAGTTTCCAGTTTAGTTTTTGGTGGAAGCTGAACTGCAGCAGAATGGAAGCAGTATTGAATGCGACAAATACATGGTGGGAATGAAAATAATACCTTCCTGCATCCACTTTAACACAGATTGGGATTAAGGTTTCCTCTCAAGGGTTCCTGGTACTTTTGTGATGCCGCAAAATAGCAAGTAGATACACCTCATCCTGTTAGAGAGGTATAATCCATCTGGCTTAGATGGAGCTGCATGGGTGAATTGGTCTGAATGAAACTTGAATTGACTTAAATATATAATGCAGACATGTTATGTAAGGAGTTGTAAATGGTGCTTCACCCTCTACAACAGGGGCAGCTAACCTGCAGCTCTCCAGATATTGTTGGAATCCTCCTCCCATCCGCCCCAGCTATAATGGCCAATCGTCAGAAATGATGAAAGTTGTGGAAGGTCCTCTTGTTAAACTTTAGTATCCTTCAAGCTTCCACTAGCAGTCCAGCGCTGCCTAGGAATTCAAATAACACAACCCCTGTGAGATTTTTAGATGGACAGTGTAATTTGTGAGTTTTAGTCATATTTTAGTCTGCCATCTTGATTCAAAATGGCACGGCATTCAAACGTCAACCAAGACTGCAGCCCCTACCTCGGGAACATTCGTGTCAAATTTGGCGGCAGTATTTCAAAAGAGGTGGCCAAACTTATAGAGCACAGATGGACAGACAGACAAACTGTTTCCAAAATATACAGTAGATTAGACAACAGGTAAGACCAGTGTTAAAACAGATGTGCATCCAGCCTGCTTGATTGCAATTGGCTAAACACCTGACTTCTAGAGACAAATGGCTTCTACTCAATTATGATGTAGTAATCTATTAATGGCTCTTAAGTAACAAATCAGGTCTCCCTGCTGTCTTGAATGTGACAGAAGCATGCTAATAATGAAAAAGAACCAACATATGCAGTCTTGCCTAGAAGGGCCGTTGGTCTTTATGAGCTTTTTCAGTAGGGAAGACTAGTAAAAGGAATGAAAGACTGCAAACTATATTTTAAAGCTCACTTCGCGTGATTGAAGACAAGATCAAATGGTGTATGAAATAGGAACAAAACTTTTAAAAAGTATTAAACCATGGCTCTGTTAAAAAAGAAAGCCTTTGAAGATTGGGCATGCAGATATGTATGTATAGCATCAAAGAGGCTTCTCTGTGATCATCTATTGGAGTTTTTTTCTTTAAATAAAATAAAAAGAATTTCAGAGAGAATTTCAGTGGGCTGAGGTCTCACAATATCATCTAAGCTTCGGTGAGGCACCAGAAATTTATATTACATGTTTATTTCTTAAGCATACAAATATACCATAGCATTCTAATAATTTAGCAACTGTTGTTTGGTTGAAATGCTTAGGGCACATAGCATAGATCTGAATTTAGTCTCACCCACAGAATGGAACAATTGTTTTCCCCATTAGCAATATCCAATCTGCCTTCATTATTACTTGAGTATATTGTTAAATAAGATGTGCCCATTATATTAATTGGAGACCATGGCAAAACACAGAGGAAAGAGAGGTTGAAACTGCAGCAAGTACACTGTTGTTTATCTAAGTTCTACTCAGAGTAGATTCAGTGAATTTAACGGAGCTCAGCCAGTCTTGTCCACTCTAGGACAGGGGCACATCATGCTTCCTTTCTCAATACCAACCTCAGCAGCTTTTATTAGGTATTACAGCATGTTCTAAATACCCCTGTCCAGTGCTTTTTTTCTGGGGGGACACAGAATCAAAGTTTGGCCTCTTTGAGGGGCAGTATTTCAAAGAGTAGGAAAATGAGAGTACCCCTAAACATTTTTTTAGAAAAAGGCGCTGCCCCTGTCCATGCCAGTGATCCCAACTTAAAAGCTCTCTTACAAACAGTAAGTGCAGTCCTTACTTTCCGAAGCAACTGTGATTTGGCTTTTCTTCTGGGACAGGTATGAAGAAGGCAAAAATTCTCTTGCCATTCCTTTCCAGGAGCTATCCATGTTTCCAGGTCTGCAAACACTGAGGTAAAGGGATACACTACATGAGGTCTGCTTCCCTGTCTACACTTACTCCCTTTAGGGACTCAGGATTGCTCCTTTCTTCGTATAAGGACTACCACTCACTGAGTGGTTACTAATCCAGGAGTTTTCTCCACATCTGTCTCTGACTTGTTAGGGACACAAGTGTGCTCCTCTGATCCTGCCCCTCTCCCTGGTCCAGAACTCCTTTTATAAAAGGATCAGATGCATTTTCCAGGTCCTTCCCCACATCTGCACCTAACTCCCAACAGTTCTCTATCAGAGTCCCTGATATGGGGCCCTGATTCTGCATTCAAGCAAGTAAGAAACTTAAAGTGCAGAAGGTCAGTCCCTAGCACTCCTTCACTTCCACAGGAGCCAAATCCTAGGGTCCAAGGGTCAAATATTTGAGGGGGCCAGACCCTCCAAAGGTGATGCGCTTTGCCATTCAAATGGGATTCATGCACCGCGTCATGTGATCAGTTATGCAGGGTAGGGCTTACTTGCC